TTTGAGGTTTATTTTATTATTATTCAGACTGAATTTGTTTTTTAAATGATATAAAATGTATGGTAAATTTTAATGAAATTGTTTAAATATTTGTAACCACAATCAAGGAAAGAAATAAAGATTCTCAAATTTAAATATAATGTTATGTAATATTTTCTTAATTTTTGAATAAACATTCTAAATTAATTAGACTTTTACTTAATAAAATAAATAAAACTACACACAAAACATACAAATTAAACTGTTGTTTTATTTAAGCTATGGAAACATTCTTTGCATTAAATAGTTTCTGTAGGTTGCTCCTTCAGGGACATCTCCTTCAGCATTGTCATCATCCAGTTGAATGTCATCGCCATCATTAATTACATCCTCATTTTCAATTATTATTTGAAATTCATCGTCAATTGCCAAGTTATGCAATACACAACAAGCTCTGATGAAATGTACTATATGCTCAATTTTTTCGTAGCTTGCAGTGGTAAAGTTGCCTAAACTTCTGCTTGAGCAAACCAAAACAATGTTCTATAACGTACCGACATGATGATAGTGTTTTGTTGAAGTTAATTTGTTGACGGCTCAATCTACCATTATCCTTGAATGGTGTAATAAGATTGCGTAAGCAAGGATAAGCACTATCTCCAAGAATCACATTCTCCTGACATAGAATTCCCAAGTTAGTAGCTAATGGTGACCTCCTAAAAAACTCTGGCATCATGGACTGACCCAGGAAACCCGATAAATATGCTTCTTATCTTATTTCTATGATCACAAACAGCTTGCATCTGTAAACAATATACTTATAATTAAAATTCTGTAAGAAAAATAATACATACAAAAAAATACATACGTGAATAGAAAAATATTTTTTTCTATTATAATAGGAATCTGGGTCTGAGGAAGGCTTGTCAATACGTATATGACTTCCATCAATAGCCCCAATGACATTAGAGAATCCTTTCATTTGGAAAAAGTTCCTTGTTTCCTGTTTTTCTTCCTCATTTGGCCAAGTTATTATGGTACTAGCCATACGGCTTATAACATGTGTCAGACGTCTCACAACTCTGAACAGGCTGCTTATTGTTATATTAAACCTGTCAGCAACATCACGGAAAGAGGCAGTCTGATGTCCAGCAAACCAAAGAAAAATTAAAATCTAAAAAACAATTTAAGATAAGTTTCAGAATCAAAATAATAATAATCATTGTTGTTAAAGCAATACCTTCATAATATTGTTACGTGGTATAATACGGTAACTATTAAATTGTTGTCTATCACTGGTATACTGGTGTATCCGTAGTGATAGATTTATACCAAACGGGGGAATATTTGAGAGGATTTAGATATTGAACAAGACACTTATTTAATTAGTAATAGATATTTCAACTGTAATATTGTAATAGTTGAAGTAATTGTAATATTGTAATTGTAGTGATTGTAATATTGTATTTGTATTAATTGTAATATTGTAATTGTAGTGATTGTAATATTAGAATTTAACTCTTATCTTAGGACTTTGGGTTAGAGAAAATAAGTAACTTGATAGTGACTTACTTGGTTGTAGGCAGGTATTTTTCCATGTCCTCCAGTTGTGTCATTAAATTCCGGACTGGCCTCAAAGTGTATGGTCAAATTGTTTGCAATGTGGCGTCTAACACGGAAATGTTCCAAAAACTCTAAGTCATTGTATCTAAAAAAAAAAACTAATAATTTATGTTGCCAAATAAATATTCAGCAACAAATTTACCAAAACTACCCCTAGGTTTTAGAAAAATAAAAAAGTTACAATTTAAACCAGAGAGGGAATGTTTGCTTACCATGTGTTAAATATTCAACAAGGAAAATTTAAATACATAGCTTACTTACCTTGCTATAGTCTCAAAATAATTCTGATTTTTCGGTCTTGTTCTGTCTTCCAAATAAACTTCGTCGTCGCTATCAAATACAAATTCATCGTCGGACGATAATGAAGAGGACGAGGAGTCGAAAAAATTCCAAATCCATCTCAAAATGTCAATCAATAAATAAAATAAAAATATAAAAAAGTAGTTTAAGCTAACTAGCTAACTGTCAAAACAAGATAATATTAATTATTATCACAATAATTAATATTTTGCATTGTACGCATGCGCGAAACATTTGACAGAACGTATAACTCGCAACAGAAAATTATTGTTTCCAACAAGTCGATAACATGTTGCAGCACTGATGGAACAGAAAACATTTTGTTGGGTGTTTTAAATTTGCTCTGCTGGAACACGTTTTTGACATTGCGCATGCGCTGAACGTTTATAACCACTTGCAACACTATGCTGGAACAAACCTACTGTCTTCCTGGCGACCGCCATAAACCACACAATCAATCCATAGTAATCGTCACCGCAAGGTCGGCTTGAGCAGCAGTCGTGCGGGCACACGCGTAAGCGCGCCTTGAACGAAAACTACCAACTCAATGCGACTCGCGGCCCAATAAAATGGACGTACGCGTTTCCGAACCACCTCGCCACACCGCACCGCCAACAAGCGACACAATAATAATAATAATTATTGCTCTGCGAGTTGCACCGCCGCCGCCAAGCTCGTGACAGCACATAATTATTATTATTATTATTATTATTATTGTTATCATTATCATTATGTTCTAAATGTTCGTGATAACTGATAACCTGTTAGCATTGGCGGTGAAAGCTAAACACGGCCTCTAAGATGTGAAATATAGTTATAGTAAAACGCACGAACGCGAGACCGAGTTTCGAGGAATGCGCGACTCGCATAGCATTTCGAGTCCGAGTAGCGGTGGCGTGGAGGTAGAAGAGCCGTTTCTCGCGCCCGTTTCACCGCCGACGGTCCGTCGTCATCGATCCTCGTCAACGCCGGCACGAACGATCGTCGCTGCCGATCAGGTCTTACCGCGGTACGTTTACGTCTCGCAACACAAACACGTGTTGGCTGGCTAGCCCGAGGCCGCCGTTTCGCCGTTTATTTACTGTTGTCCTATTGTTCGTCTCGTGTCCCCACAGCGATGGCCGTCGACTACTTGTTCGATCCACGCACGCTGGCCGCCGCCACTGCCGCCGACGACGCGACAGGAGACAACCGACTGTCGGTTGACGACGTTGGCTGCAAATACCGGCTGAGACCCCTGTGCTTGACCGACTTCGGACGCGGTACACGACTAGTGTTTTCTAGTTCAATACGTTCTCCTTTTTAAGCGTACTTATTTTTTTTCTTCGTTCTGTCGTAGGATACTTGGACCTGTTGTCTGAACTGACTGTGACAGGAAACGTCACTCAGCAGATGTATTCGAGTTAGTGTGATTGTTGTATGCTCTTCCTACACTATTAGCTTATGACATTTCATTGTGTTTTTTTTTTTTTTTCTAGACACTTTTGATATGATGAAGAAAAACAGTGGTACATATTACATAATCGTTGTTGAAGATACTGAGGAAAACTGCATTGTGGCGTCTGGTTCGCTAACTATTGAAAAAAAGTTCATACACTCATGTGGACAAGTTAGACATAATTGTTGTATCTGACTTGTGAGATACATTATTAATCTATGCATTTAAATTGCAGCGCGGTAGAATTGAAGACATTGTTGTCAACTCTAAATGCAGAGGACAACGTTTTGGAAAAATGTAAGCAGTCTTAACAATTTTTTCATCTAATAAAAACTTCAATCAATGAGAACTCTTATACAAATGTAGAAATAAAACTAGACATTTTATAATTGTTAGATTTCTGACATTTAAACCAAGTTATCAGAATTTATCTTGAAGACTCGATATCCTAACTACTATTTAATTATATTTGGGAGACATTTAAAAAATAACATAAATATATAACACTCTTATCATTTATGATTTTAGACTTACCATATTTCATACACATATCCCATATTTACTATTTTGATATACATGTAGTTATTAATGTTATTATATTTTCTAAATTACCATCTAGTTTCAGAATTAATGTCAGCTGTAAAATTTGACTGTAGTAAATAATACAATTATTTCATATGTGTTTGTCTATATATTATATTATGAACTTTCAAACTAATTACTAACTTTAATCAACTGTTTATTACAGTGTTGTTCAACGTCTAATTGCTCTGTCACGCGTCCTAAATTGTTACAAGATTTCATTGGAATGTAAAGATAGTTACGTGAATTGGTATAGCTCAATGGGTTTTGTGAAAGAACCTGGAAATTCAAATTACATGCAGTTGAGGTTTGAACAACCATTGCATTGAACTTTGTTATTTATTATAAACTAGAATGATTGTTTAATGTATTATATTAATTTTTGAAAAATACAATTTACAAAACGTTTTACTATATTTAAAAAAAACATGAATTTTTAGTTAATTTATTTTATAGATCTTACCTATTCAAATTTATTGCATTTTATTATTTATATACTCCAATTATAAATTAGTCTAATATTTATTTTTTAAGATACATCTTTTTAAAATAGAATGTTTAGGTTAGTTTAAAATTTCAGAATTTCATTAGTTGTTTAAAGTTTATAATGGAGTAAAATTCAATTGACGAAAAGAATGTATTAAATTATAATCCAAGTACTAATGAAAATAAAAGGTTGTAGCCCATTTGGCTCCCGTTCTACAAAAAAGTCAATTTCCAAACGGTTCCCGTCCAAAAAAGTTAAGTTAATTCCTAAACCATTCCGGTTTTATACAACACATAATTTTTTCGACAAGCTCGTTTTTTTTTTTTTTGATCAGACAGGCATGTTGTCTAATAATTATTGTAGAGTTTACAATTATATCTATTTGTAAATTTTTTTTTTTTTGATGGGAGCCCCGTTTTGGAATTTACCCGTTTGTAAAACCTTTTTTGATAGAAACTGTCTGAAAATAAGCAAACAATAGATGGGAGTCATTTGGGATCCGACGAAATAAAAGTAGCGTTAAGTAACCAAATTAAACAATCAGTTTATTAAATAATTTAATTAGTTATACAATTGAAATATTTAAACTATATCAAGAGTTATAATTAAAAATCATATTTATACATACAAATGTCAATATTATAATTGAATACCCTCGTGTATATAAAACAACTTAAAAAATTATGTGTCATTAAATTTACAAAGTACAAAAAAATATATATATATAATTGTAATAATATTGTATAACAAACACCACAGTATTATTCATACAAAGTGTGTTTAAAAGAGTATTAAAACTAAGCAATACATCAATATACACCAAATTTCATTTAATCTGGGTAACTTTTGTCAGCTATCAAGATTTATCTTTGACACAAATATTATTCATGTCTAGACATTGGCGTTTGTGATGGTTGTTGATATCTAGGAATATCGGCAGTTGAAGCAACAGTGGCAGGCGGTTTATTTGAATACCCTGTGACTGAACTTGTCGGAACAGTATATGAGGCCTGTAAATAACAAAATAATACTATTTTATACTTAATCCGCTGCAAAGAAAAACATTGAACAATAAGTATGTTTATAAAATTATGATTAAAAGAAATGTATAAGCAAAGTTACTACATTAATAAAATTATATTTATCATCGGTTGATATGACCAAAAATTCTGATCAAAAATAATAACAAAGAATATGGTCTAATGCAAAATTAATGAAGTAAAATCAACAAGTTAAAAAATAGCTGTATTCAGCATAATAATATACTTAGTTTAAATAGATACTATAGTCTATTAGGAATGAAATCATACCTCAGCGGCGACCAGTTTTCGTTCGCGACGGTCAGATGCTACCACGAAAGCTCGTAAGGCTAGCGCTGTGGAACAAAGCCATGCCCATGTGCAGAAATCGACCGCCGAGGTACGATCTCATTCCGAATAGACTATATATATCATCATATTATAAATATTATACAATACTCACGTGTTGTTGAGACGACTGAATAATTGCTGGAGATAGTTGAGAAGCTGGAGATGCAGCTGTCGGATGTCGCATAGGATAACCAACATTGTGTGGTTTTTGATTCTGTTCAAAAACAAAAAAAAAAAATACTAGCAAGTTTATTTAAAGGTGAAACTAATTTAAAGTTTTAAACATACCATCTGATGTGGTTGTGACGTAACAGTCGTAGTATTTGATAAATGAATATTTCTACTGCCTTGTTGTTGATAAAAACTAGATGCTGGAGGAGGTGCCAACTTATCATCTGGATAGACATTATGAGGTGGTTTTGGGTGATCTGATTAAAAATAAAACAACCATTAAAATGCCCATTTTACTCAAACAAATTTATGTTCACAATAAACATACATGTGTGATTACTAGTTTGGTTTCGAATGCCTGGGCTCATGTACATAGGTGGATGGGAGTGTGCATGATGATGAGGTTGATGGTGTTGATGAGAAGAAAGAGGTTTTGGTATTTGTTGAGCTCCATGATCACCAGCTGTACTCACGATTAAATTGCCACTGTTGGACGATTCTGTTCGTGGTGGTGGTGGAGGTGGTGGCGGTGGTGGCCCAGAATAACTATATACTGTATTTACTGAAGATAGTGATGGAGCTGAAGACAACATGCCATTATTGACACAATAATTAACTGCAGTAGTAGAATTCGATTGATAAAATGATCCATAATTACTGACATTTGGCTGTGTGTTTTCTAAAAACAAAAATTGTTATATCTTAAGAATTTTTTTTTTTTAATACAGTAAGAATATTAATGGAATTGGTGCACGTATATGCTATCAACATATTATACCATTCTATTTTCTATACTTTGACAACCTGTTACAATTGTTAGCACTTCATTTAGTATATTTTCTCAGACTGATTCAATTCATAACAAAGATGTTGTGGTAGAGAAGTTTAAAAAATGGGGAAAAGCATTAATAGGACAAAGAGGTAAATCCATCTTTCAAGGAAAACAAGAGTACAAGAGAGAAAAACTATAGAAAGGACACTGGGAATTTGGTAATGTTGTTTTTATTTTGTGTGAAAGTTAAGTTTTTAAAATCCAATTTTTATTAATCAATAAAAGAGATTAGAAAACATGACCAATAATCAAGAAATACCATCAAAAAATCAAAAAATTGTATAAATCTTCTTACTATTAGTATTGTTGCAGTTGTTGTTAATCCAAACATTTCTATTAAATGACTGTGTAGTGTCTTCTCTATTTCCACGTCTATTTGAGTTTTCAACTAAATTAAAGTATATTTAAAAATTTGAGCATTTAATACATAGATATCATATATTTTTAAATTTTCTTCAAAAGGCAAAGATTGTATGATTACTATCATATTGATGTAAAAACGTGAAACAATCTAAATATTATATATGTGTACAAAAATATTTTTTTTGTCATAAACACTTACTAGGATAGTTACTATTGGTTCCAGTAGCCAAAGACTGATTTATGCTATTTACAACGGAAACTGGAGCAGTAGAATTTAAATTACTAGTGGTGCTACCACTATTATTTATTGGCTTATATGGAGGGAAAGGTACAACAATTTGTGGCTGTTGATAGTTTTGTTGCTGTATAGTTTGGGGTTGCGGAGATGGTGTTCTACCCATTTTGTTACTGGTTCCAACATTCTAAATGAACAAAAAAAAAAAATAAATAAATAAATAAATAAAAAAATAAAAGTTTTAATTGAACTTATATGAAGTATAAACTATAAATGTTTAATATTAACAATGGAATATTAAAGAGGAAGTTAGAATGTAGGTAATTTATAAAATTTATTTTGTTATAAGTTAATGTTAGCTATAAAGTAGAGTGAATTGAGAGGAAAAATATTTTAGATAAATACAATCAATAACAAAATACTTGAATTGTATACTAATAAATCTGTTAGGGATTATAATGTAGTGGTTTAAAAAAGAAACTTACATTGTAAACATATTTAAATTAGATTAAAAATTTTAATTTACCGGCGCTAATAAATGAGTGGTACTACTGCTATACAGCGGCGGAAATTTTGTAAAACTCATTGTACTAGATAAAGAAGCTGGTAATGACATAGTAGGACGAGTCACATTATTGTTCTGATTGTTTGCAGCAGCATTTATTGTGGCTGGCGAACAAACTAATAATGTTTGGTTACTACTTCCAGCGTTACTGGTACTGGAATTGTGCATAATCAAAGGCTGTTGCGCCAATGGGCTTAATCCGCTACTCGCAGCAGGAGATCCTGCACCAGATTGTGCATTAACTACTGTAGTCTGTTGTCTAAATATATGTTGTTGTTGTTGTTGTTGAAGTAAAGGGGTCGACCGATGATTTGTAACAACAGAATTATTGATATTGTTAGTCACTACAGTCTTATTGTTAATAGGCTCACTGTAAAACACGAATAAAAAAGATAAATAAGTAAAAATCAATAATAAAATTTAAAAGACTGTGCATTTGATTTTATTAATACCAATTAGATTCAGTTTTAGGCACAACTAAAGCAGTTGCCATACTATCATCAGTAGCTTGTGACTGATTTAAGAGTGCACGTTTTTCTTCTTCAAGTTCATCACGTTTGTCTCGTAGTTGAATTAAACGTCCATTGATCTGTGCTAATGACAATTTGTTTTCTTGCATTTTTTGATACTCTACACATTTTTTTTTTCTTAGCACTTCAGCATCAACTTCAGCTATTAATCAAAATATATTTTAAAATTATACATAAACAACTATTAACTTGTAATACACATAATTTTATTTTTATCATATATAATTTAAGGCGGAAAGAAGTATAAAAGAAATACAATGTGTATTATTCATTGATTACATGCATCTAAACTAAAGAAATTGTCGTCTTACTTAACACATGTTTTATAAAATTATTTTAGTCTATTCCTAAATGGTCATTCATCTCCATTATTGGATAGAAAAATTATAAACTAGGGCTCACCATTGTCTCAACATTAATAATAATTACAAAGAATGTAATTTTTCTATATCACAATATGAGAACCTCTGATCTAAAAAATAAATATCAATAGATCAATTTTGGGGAGACATAAACAGAAAAACTTTAACCTATAACTGAAAATGACCATTTTAAACTTTTTATAATTCCCTAAAAAAAAACAAGGTCATAATCAGTCATAACTCGTATGTATATGGGGAAATATTTGAAAATAACCTCATTAAAAAAGTATTTTAATAAAAAAAACACCTATATATGTATAAATAAATACAACTAGACACATGACAAATGTAAAAAATATGATGTGTATACATTTGCTAATACATGTGATATTTACAAACTTTCTCAAAATTTGAATTTGTTTAAAATTTTTAAACTTGATTGATGGAACATAAAAATGTTTGAAAACGTTTATAAGAAAAGATGCA